GGGTCTTATATATTTCTGATCCCCTAATTAAAGTTACCTCTGCCAAAACCGCAAGACTGCAGGATCGAGAACACAGATGTCACAAAAAAAGTCTTAGCTGGGGCAGAAGTAGAGAGTCCAGCGCAAAGGCCCAGGTGGGATGGGTATATGACTGGAAAGAGGTCTGAAGCAAAATGAGTGGTGCAGCTAAACAGTGGCCACCAGAGGCCCCCAGATTTAATGGTCAAAGGATGCACTGGTATCGTTCAGATACAAGAAACTGTTAAAGTGGATCTAAAGTCTAAACATTTTTACTTTAAAGCAGGACTTTACCCATAACTAATGAACAAATAGTGTTCTTCAGCAAGAAACATACATTCCATATTAATAATTATGCTACCAAAATAAGTCTATGCTCTAAAGTGCCTACAGCATCATGCCTGTTTCTTCTTGCTGGAGGCTGCCATTTTGTTGAAGCCCAGAGCCCCTGAGCAGCAGTAAATCTTAAGGCTGTCAGCAGATTGGCTGATTCTACATTTTAGGAATATTGCTGAAAAATAGAGAGTGACTCAGCATGTGCAAACCAGGGTGAGACATCATATTACTGAATTTTAAACAGTATAGACAATTCTTTTTAAAGTTTTCGTTTTATACCTGCACAAGGGGCTAGCATGAAGTGATGAAGTGACCAATCAGGACTTAATTGTCTGACTAAAGTTCTATTTAATGCATTCCCTGCAAAGTGAAAACATTTCCACTACTTGTTTCTTCCCCCCACCAAACACTTATCTAACTCCTCTCTCGATCCAGCACTGTGCCCTTCTGCACTGCTCTCTTCCTCTTCTCACAGGACACACTGAGAGCAGAGGGAGCCATTGGCTTCTGCTGCTGTAAGTCAAATCTTGTGAGGAGGGAGCGGGGAGCATGGTCAAGCTGTGCTGTGTGTGTCTCTATGAAAGCACATAGTCAGGCTCAGGAGTGTGCCTGCACTGGTGCCCCCTCAGTGCACGGCTTGCTGAGGTAACACTCGGAGAAGAGGAGGCCAGATGGGCCAACGCAGCAATATACAGTGTAATGGAGGTAGGCCCACAGTCTCTGCTTGAGTATTTATGCCAAGTCCACATCTCAGTAAAGTCTCAATGAAATTGTAGGGCTTTGGTTGAATGGAAGCATATATTAAAAAGTGAAAAATTACATATCTGAGTCGCAGATGCTGGTTACTATAATTTATGTGGAATATTGCATCCGTCAACCAGGCAAAAGCAGATTTCAAAGAGAATTCCTTTACTGGGTACCCACCAGTTTTGCAGTGAACAGGTCTGCGATGGTGATAGTGATGATAGGCAGCTGAAATTCCTAGTACCGTTCCAGTACCAAGATGAACAGGATCTTGAGTAGTTCATAGAAATTGTGTGAGGGGAGATTTAGAGGTGCTGATCTACGTTAGAATCGCCCTGCAGAGGATACTGACATGCAGTGAGAAAGAGATGTGATGCCTCCTCACTGTCTGCTTTAATCCCATTTTTTCTGATATTAGTGGGGAGTTTGCAGCACTTTGACATTGACTTGCATGTGCAGCATTTGGCAGGCTTGGCGCCCGCTGAGTGGTTTATGTCAGGTCAACTTTGCCTAGGCACTAAGCATCGTGAGCACTGCATGTAAACATCCCTGTCCACTGCCTATTGCAGCCTAAGGCCTAAGTCTTCCTGCATCCGGACAATGCTTGTGTGGCCTTCATAGGTGGCAGAAAGGCAAAACGAGAACCACTCCATGGAAGCAATGTGTTGTACAGACAACCTCCAGGAGAGGATGCAGGGTCTTTTTTTGCTTATGGTTATGTTGTACAGTTCCTGAAATATCTTGACTTCTAACCCATTGAAGGTGAGTGTTTCCTTCTCTCTCTAGCTTTCTGAATCATCGTCTCCTTCACTTAAAGCCAACAAAACAGCAGAAGATATCAAATGGAGGATCTGTTCTCTTTATGCGTAATCAAAAGGCCCGGTGACTGGAGCACCTGAAAAATCTGATGAGGTTTAAATGACTCCAGAAGGCCTAGGATTTGGGAGTGTCACGTAACTTGGTTGGAGGCTGAGTTGATGAGAGGGTTTCCCCTGCGGCTCTGGTCCGAGCACCCCTGAATGTGGTGACAGAGGTACAGGGTTCAAAGAGGCTCAAAGAGGCTTGGGTGCTGGTAGCTTGGTAGCAGGTGAATGCCAGAGTCAAAGACGTAGTCAAGGTGAGCCAGGGTCATATACGGTGAGACAGCAGTGTAGTCAAGAAGCACATTTAGGTCAGTACCAGGAAGGCTCATGTACACGGAAGCTGATAAACTCACTTTTAGCAGCTTTTCTGCATTTTTTTTCAGCAGCCCGTGAACTCTCTCTAATGTTTTCCTATGTGTCCATGTACACATAGTCGTTTACGGGCAGTTGAGTTTACAGTTGCTTTTTTGAATGCACCAAACTTGCGTTCCAGAGTAGATTTTATCAGCGTTTCAAACGCCAAATGCTTGTAAATGCTAACCGCATTTATAAGCGTTTGGAAACTTTTTTTAACTCTTCGATTTCCAGATGCCATCCAGAGCCTTTTTTCATCATGAAAAATGCATGCAAAGTGTTTTCCCGGTACTCAAATGGACCTGATACACCATAATTTGAGGTTTCGCATGAAAGAAAATATGTTAGACACTGCTGCAATAATTTCTGCACAGAAATGACCTGGAACACATCCAAACACCACAAAAAAAAGACAGCTAATCTCAACACATACTGCTCTCTCTGCTTCTACTCTATTTTTCTCAAAATGTCTGAAATACTTAATTTGTTACTGTTTTTCAGTGCATTTTTGGCATTTTGGAAAGTTTCCTGATGTTATCTTTAAAAAACCGCTTCTAAACGCAAACGCTCATAAACACACATAAACGCGGTATGCAAACGCAGCTAAACAGACGTTTTTTAACCTACGTTTTCCAGCAGTCAGTTTCCATCGTTCAGAAGTGTCCTTTGTACATGGAGCCGAAAGCAGGCAGAGCAAGGTCCAGTAGAAGGCCGAGGTCAGTGCCGGGGAAGCAGGCAAGGAATAGTCAGAGGCAAGCCAAGGTTAGTATCCAGAATCCACAGAGCAAGGTCAGGAACAAGCCGGATCAGCAACAGAAGATCAGTCAGCAAAGTAGGATCACAGGAACAAAGATCATAGGAATGCTGAAGAACATCCATCGATCAGCAAACAGCAGGATTTCCTTTAAATAGGCAGCTTGGCACCAATGTGTGTGGACGTGTGCACCAATGCACGCTGGCACACACAAATGCGCCTATGTGTCAGTGCATGCTGGATACTATCCTGAGCTTATAGCTGCAGGGGAATGAGCATTAGCTGTATTTGTTTCCTGACAATGAGTTTCTGTGGTTGTTTCAGTTGTCCAGGCCCTTGATCTTCCTCTGCATGTTGAATGGGTGAGAATTGTGCTGGTTTGCAACCCATTACAGGTCCCACATGACAAATTCAAGGTGATCTTCCATCTTTTCCACCGCTAACGTTTCTCATGTTATATTCTGTTAACAGTCAGAAACATAAGTATTGCATGTTAACCCAGTCTGAATAGGCCCCAAAGCCAGACAAGCAATTAACAAGAATTTTAAAAGGCAGTCCAAGTATTTTTCTTAGGTCCATAAATACCTACATTTTGATTTCCACATAGTGAAAAAGCTTTGTGAATCGGGTATTAATATTGCAAGGGAAGATTCCAGTGTTAATCAGACACATTTGATAACACTTGATTATACACTTTCTGCTTGAAGTATGCGTTAATGCAGTTTAATGCATCAAGGCCTGAATGTTGTTTCATTGCAGGAAAACAGCTTACTGAGCTTAATACACAGATGAATTACATATGTTTATATGTTTTGTGGTTTTAACTTTGAAATTATTTTTGATTCTGAAGAACAAATCTTGTGATTTGTACAAATATGTCCCCATGCGCAGCCAGTAAGATGACACTTCTCTTGTGTTCGAATTTAGGGATTTCTGGATAGTTACATAGTTACGTATTTAGTCTGGTTGAAAAAAAGACACATGTCCATCTAAAAAAAATACAATCCTATATACTGTACATATTCCTATACCCACAGTTGATCCAGAGGAAGGCAAAGATTATCGGAGAACTGAGAAGGGAAACTTTGTCATTTGGTAGGTGAAAACGTAAATATATATTAATTTGAACTGTGTATGTATTTCATAAATGAATAAAAAATGCAGCGCAGCAATATGAACACAAATATAGTGCTAATAATACAAACCGTGCATATATAAATAGTGAAAACAAAAATTGTGTTTGTGACAATAAATATGTGCTACACCAAATGTCTTACCAACCCATACACATAGATACCCATAGAACTGCACATACCAGTGCTGAAATGAATGGCGCATACAAACACCCAACGAAATGTTCATAATAGTGGACTGTCCCTTTAACCACTTCCAGTCTGGACACTTTTACCCCCTTCCTGACCAGGGCAATTTTCAGCTTTCAGCGCTATCACATTTTAATGACAATTGCGCGGTCATGCAACACTGTACCCATATTAATTTTTTACCATTTTTTTGAGACAGATTAAACTTTATTTTGGTGGTATTTATTCACCACTGGGATTTTTATTTTTTTGCTATGTAAATGAAAATGTCCAAAAATTTTGAAATAAGTGTTTTTCTTATAAAATTTTGCAAATAAATAATATTTCATCATAAATCTTGGCCAAAATTTATTCCATTATCTTTTTAGTAAAAAAATAAATGAGCCAAATTAGTTTGTAACCAAAAATTATAGTTTTTAAACATTTTTTTTTTACATTTTTATTTTTTTGATATTATTTTTTATTTTATTTTTTTTACATACTGTCACCCTAGCAGTACAGTGTCACCATGGTGACACCATGTGACACTGTACTACTTTTGGGTTGGTGATGAAGATTTCTTTTTTTTTTTTTTTACACTGATTGCTTTTACACCCATATAGAATGTAAAAGCAATCATTTCTCTTTCTCTCTGTCTGCATTCTTGCAGCTATTGAGAAATACTGAGTGAGCTATGATTGGTCACAGCTTGTCACATGGTACAAGGCTGTTGTGAATAGCCTTGTACCATGTGACCTCTGTGATCATTCACAGATTTCACACTTAGTTAGCAATGATGTCAGAAGTGACATCTTGCTTACTACTTTGCATGTGATCACTGATTGGCCAATCAGTGATCACATGATCGTGACCTCGTACAGAGGTCCCGTCTGACGATCGTTGTTTCACTGTGACCGGAGGACACAGCGGGCACCGGATCGCAGTGCTGCGCGCTCCCGGGGTGTGCGCACAAGCAGGGTGCGGGGAGGACATTTATAAACAACCACCCGACCCTGCAGTGCCACCGCCCGGCCGTTTATATACAACGGCCAGTCGGGAAGTGGTTAAATCTCAGATATCTTCACGTGTGCTTGTGCGGTTTATCTCTTACCTATCGTGATCCAAATACACCAGCAACAAGTGTCTCATAAATATAGTCTCAAAACAATGGTGAACCGTCCCTTTAAATCCGCTGTACTCCAAGTGGGTCAGTGTGATATAAGGGGTGACACAGGAGCACCATATACATGTATGCAGTAGTGTGATCACACTGACCCACTTGGAGTACAACGGATTTAAAGGGACGGTTCACCATCGTTTTGAGACTATATTTATGAGACACTTGTTGCTGGTGTATTTGGATCACGATAGATAGGAGATATACCGCACAAGCACATGTGAAGATATCTGAGATTTAAAGGGACAGTCCACTATTAAGAACATTTCGTTGGGTGTTTGTATGCGCCATTCATTTCAGCACTGGTATGTGCAGTTCTATGGGTATCTATGTGTATGGGTTGGTAAGACATTTGGTGTAGCACATATTTATTGTCACAAACACAATTTTTGTTTTCACTATTCATATACACACGTTTTATATTATTAGCACTATATTTGTGTTCATTTTGCTGCGCTGCATTTTGTATTGATTTCTGGTTTACATGTGGGAACACATTATATGCTAGCCACACTATCTGTTTTGTAGGAGGTCTATTGCGCTGAGAGTTCTCTATACACATTGTGTATGTATTTATTTGCTACACGTCCACAGTAAATGAGTTCTAAGCCAAATCAATATATCTTGTATAAGATTTAACAGGTTAGAGTGGTTTTTTTTTTTTTTTTTTTTTTTTTTTTTTTTTTTTAGTTTGATAGATTAGGGAAGGGTTAGAGTCATTGTAAATTAACATACACTAACGGAACTATTGATAAAAAATATGCTGTGCTAAAGTCTCAAGCATTTGCACAACTAGATGAATAATCCCTGTAATTTGCCTAAAACATTTATTTCCTATTATCATCAGCACCATCTAGTGGCCATAATGCAGCATTTTCCTGAAATGCCTCAATCTGCAAAACATCTCATTATGGCTACTAGATGGAGCTGATGATCATAAAAAATAAATGTATTAGGTAAATTACGGGGATTACTCAGGACAGCTGTGTGAATGCTGGAGATATCTGCACAGTGATTTTTGTTTTTATAAGTAGACCCCTAAGTTTCACCAGATGTTGCCAGAAGAGGTACTTAGTCTGCAATAAATATTGTTTACCATGTTTGAATGTTAGCTTTACATAGCAAATCTGAACTGCTGACCCAAGTTTATAGGTGTGGCAGGAAGCCACATGGTGAATGTATTACTAGATGTTCTGTTTCTGAGGCCCTGTTTGACTGGCCATACACTATACAATTTTCTGCTCAATTTCTGCCCAATTTCCTTAAGATTTACCTTCAACTATGTAGTGCAAGGGCCTGCTTAATTGGATACAACTGAAAGTGTTGTTTAGGTCTGACCTCTTATTATATATGGTTTTTGGTAAATCTAAAGCAATTTTCTAAAGAAAATTGTATAATGTATGGCCAGTCTTCATATCTGGGCATTTTGCATCACGGGCAGAATTGCCGCAATTCTGCCTGCAATTCCAAAAAGCTCTGCTAAAATGCTAAAAAGAACATTTTGCCCGCAATGAAAAATTGCTGCACAAGTTACTTTCACACTGTACATTAGAACAGCGATTTGCAAATCTTTATTAGAACCCTGTCATGATTTTCCTTCTGTGTCTCATTGGAGAAATTTTCTTTTACTGCCTTTCCTGTAAACATAAAAGGAAATTGAAGGAAATCTGTCCAACATGAGGGAAATGCCCTTTTAGGGCCAGTTTACACTACATGCGTTGCAGTGTTTTTTTTTTTCTGCATCCAAAACGCACAGAAAGTAGGTTATATGGTTGTCAATGTCATAGTTCACATCAGGGCTTGCAGATTCAGTGCGTTCTGGTTACAGAAAAAAAAGTAGAACAGGCTGCAATTTTCCTGCACAGAACTGTACTGGAACGCGGTAAAAGCATCAAAAATGCACCGGAACGCACTGCAATGCACCAAAATGCACATGTCCCTATTTACATTGAAGAAAAAGAGAGGTGAAAAAATGCACCGGAACACGTCAAAAACACGCATGCAGAAACGGATCTGGAACGCATCTGGACCGCGTGAACCGGCCATGAAAAAGTTATCACTAGAACAAGTGTCCCCATTGGAGTGACTTCCCTTTATTCCTGTTTTGGTGGCAATGCAACATTTGGGATTTTCACTCACTTTCAGTCCTGATGACAGTGCTAACCAGGGCAAATGGAGAATAGAGGCACAGCACAATGGAGACACAGCAATAAAAAATACTGACAAGGTCTCTAAGCATTCTATTCAAAATAATACTCCTCAGCACCCAACATCAAGTGCACGTGCATTATGCTGCCAAAAATTATGTTCTAAAAAAAAAAAACAGATAACCAAGCTGCAGTTTTACCACCCCCCAGCTGCCCACCCAAACAAATATTTTTATAAACTAATGACACTTGCACACTGAACTTCCATGGAAGTTACTGAAACATTTTTTTTTATTAAACTAATAATGAAACTAATAAATATCTACTCATTTGAAGTAAAAGCTGAATTACACGTATGTCAATTTTTACAGTGGTCCATCTTGGAGTATTCTAATAGACCAAATATAACCCTACCAAGGGATGTACTAGGATAGCAAACAATACCCTGGACTAGTAGATCAAGAGCGGGGCTCACAATAAAAGCTCAAACCCCCCTCCCCCCACAAAAAACCCTCATCCAATGTCCAAGTGGAGTATTTAAAGTGGAGCTCCAGTCTCCCATGTAAAAAATAAAAGTCAGCAGCTACATAAACTGTAGGTGCTGACTTTTAATAAACAGCCACTCACCTATCCTGTACTGTACTTGGCCCAGCAGTTTTCAACCTCTGTTTCTTTCTTCCCGGTGCCAGCATCTTTACTATGGGCACCCTGTCTGCTTCTTCACAGCTTGGTGCCCACTGCGCATGCATGAGCGGCGCTGCGTAATCTGAGTGGTCCAGTAGTCCCTCTCAAACCTGTCACAGGTCCAAAAAGACTGCAGGAGGGGGAAGGAGAACTTACGTTCCCAATTGTCTAGGAGGTTGGAGCGGAAGTGGGAGTGGGTACCTGTCAAAATCAGGTACCTGCTCCCCCCTCTCCCCAAAAGCTCTATTTCACAAACAGGAGCTAGGGAGGAGGCTTTAGAGTGGAAATTCTCCTTTTGTGTGGAGCTCCGCTTTAAAGTCCATATGAGTTTATGGACGTTCATATACAAATTCATACTTTTTTCAGGGTCAGCAATCTCTCTTCCAAATGGTATCTGATCACTTTCCCACCAATACCCTGTAAATAAAAAAGAATAAACACGGGAGAGAAAGTGCCACTGTCTAAGTGTAATATGAGTGGAATATCGTGAAAAGATGAAAGTACTTGGATACTGCATTTCGGTAAGTACTCTCCTATTCCTTCTGTACTGAAATGTATTGTAATTGTATTGTCTCCCTTATATTGTAAAGCGCTGCGCAAACTGTCGGCGCTATATAAATCCTGTATAATAATAATACTCTACAGAATGACCAGCAAAGGGGAATCTATGCAGTTGGTAAATTTAAGAAAATATTCAGCGGGGGAGGGGGAGCTCTCCTGGGTTTACAAATGAGCAAGTATGGAGAATAATAAAAGAGAGTGTAGCATTCACAGTGTATCATTTAGTAAATCACCATGTATAAAAAGGAGACAGTAATGCACTCACATAAAATCAAATAGAAGGCTGCAGTAATAAAATTGTACCAGCAGGTGGCGAGGTCTTACACCCCAGTCACATCAGGAGCGACTTGGCATGCAATTTGCCTGCCAGGCGACTTGCAAATCGTATACCAAGTCGCAACCTATTGTCCGCTACTAGAGCGGTCAAATATCCGTGCGGTTCCGACTTGGTCGGAGCCGCTCCGATTTCTAAAGTAGTGCATGTACTACTTTTGTTGCGATTTGCATAGACATCTGTGTCAGATGTTTTGCAAATCACAACTGAAGTCGGCAGGTCACCTGATTTTGAAATCGCGCAACTTCACTGTAAGTCACATGATTTCAAAATCGGCTTTGATGTGACCGGGGGCTTATGTCCCAACATACAAACAGCACTAGTCCTAGTGCGAGCTCTTCTAGTGGCTAGATGACATAGGAAGCCATACAGGGAGACAGGAACCAGAAAGAGCCAGCTGGGATAGAGTGTATAGCCACAAAAGGCAGTAATGCACTCACATATAACCAAATAGAAGGCTGACAGTGGCTTGAGAAAGGGGACTCCACCCCAAAACATGCAGCCACACCTTAATGTATGACATCATCATGGCCCCTGGTCGCTTCACTCTGGTCTTTTTTGGCTGCCTTTTGTGGACATTGCTTGGTCTTGGAAGGTAAATATTAATTAAATTATTGGCACTGAAGTTCCTTCTCTTTCTGGCACCCTCACCTGAACACTGGTTGTATTGAAGACCCTTGGCCCACCTGCATTGGGCCTGGTTCATTGAGAAAAAATAAAAAAAAAAAACTAAGACCTAAGATCAACCCTCAAAGTGTTGAGTAAGATTGTAAGCTCCCAGGAACAGGACCCACCTATCCCTCTTGTATTGAACTGTATTGTTGCTGTATTGTCTCCCTTTATATTGTAAAGCGCTGAGCAAACTGTTGGCGCTATATAAATCCTGTATAATAATAAGTTTACAAAGTGCAGTTGAGTAAGTTTTGGAAAGTGCAATGATTTGCCATTTCAACCTAGCTAGGATAAAAAAAATAATGGATTGTATTCTCCCTGTTCAAAAATAAAGAAAATGTAACAATAAGCACCTTTTCTCATTGAAGAACAGGTGTTGGTGAATAACACTGGATGATTGTGTCAGAATATCAATGTTACTCATTAAGGCTGCATTCACACCTGCGCGTTTCCTAAACCCAAACCAAAAATTGTGCATTTTGCCACGTGTTTTGGAAACATGCTGCAATCCTGGGTCATGCTTGTGGTGCCATTAACTGTTAATGGCACCCCAAGCGCAGGTAGCAGATCCATGTTTTGCAGCGCAACAAAACACACTACAAACGTGCAAAAACATCCATAGCCAAAAAAGTTTTGGAGCTACTTTGGGGTGTTTTTCATGTATAGGGAAGCCCATTTAAGCAAATGGGCTGCCCTAGGCACGATACGCATTATCGCGTGAAAAAGAACATGAGCAGCATTGTGTGTTCCAGATAGCTGCAGTGTGAATAGGGCCTGAATGTGATTGTGTTAATGAATCTATTGTCAAAGAAAATAACCAAAAAAAAGATGATGGTGTTTTTGCAGCTTGAATATTATTTTTTTTAGCATTTACATGAAATCTGTTAGATAAATGAGAAAAAACAAGTTATATTTTTTTTTGTGTTTTCTAAGCCATCTATACATTGCAAAAGAGTTGCAAACTAAAGAAAAATGTGGCTGATCAATAACATTGACTGATAACTTGCAAAGTTTTAAATTGAATCAGTGAATTAAAAAAATGTATGCTCAAATTTTTTTTATATCAGGTCGGAGGCAGAGGCAGATGCAGATACAGTACAAATTATTTTCTAAACGGGTGCCATTTTATGTTTGGCCAGCAAGTGGCAGCATTGTACAATTTAGAATTTAGCTCACTTTCCCTACCGTGTAAGCACATGGAACATCATAAAACAATCCTTTTTAGATGGAGGTCAGCCATGGCAGTGTCTTTGCTTTCTTTTTTTTGCAGTGAACACTAAAATGGCACAGGTTATACACTTAAAGAGGAATTTCACTTTTTTAAAAAATTAAAAATCAGGTATTTACCAGTTCACTGATTCCAGCATTGTCTTTCTGCAGCCGAATCTTACTACAATGGGTCCACTGTTTTGGATTTGGAAGTTGGCTGTGATGACCTGATGAATCACAGCTCCACACTGCTGCATGCATGAGATCGTGTGGTGTTATTGTGAGCTGTTCTCTGCTCTGCTATGACTCTTTAACCTGCTTGGTCCCAACTGACACCCTTGGTTATAAGTTGTAGGCTGCTCCCACCTGTGTAACTACCACTTTATATTAGTACAGTAAGCATGGTAACCACAATGCATGAACCAGTAAATAAGCAATTGAACATTAAAGACGCCATACTAGGTAAGATAAACACTGACCGATTATATGGCAGTCAACTGAATTGCAGCAATGCTAAACCAAATGTTAGATGAAATAAATGGAGGGAAATATATCAACATTAACTAACCCAAAGAAATGTTCTTAAGTGCACTCTGCACATACAGTGCTTTAGTGGGTGAATGTACGCATTCCTTAAAAGGGGTACCTTTGTAGGTGGCTACAAAGTACCTGGTGCCTAACTATTAGTATTAGCTG